TTAAATATTTCCAAACAGAATTTAGAATATATTTGTTTTGGTGTGTGCCTTTACAACATTTCTTCACCTTTGTTTTTTTACAATTTGGGATCTAATGGACAGTGTAAAACTTTTGTTGGAGAAGGAGGGTGTTAAATATTTTAGGGGGAAGGGAAGCAATTGAATACTAGTACTGACCAGCCTCTGTTCTCACTGTGAGGTTTGTTAGTGCAGTTGCCCAAATGGAGTCAGAATTACGAAGTAACTATGTGTTCCATTTGTGGCACTGTTAGATAGGGGATTTCCTACATGAACCTGTGATCAGAGAATCTGGTTCATTGCTTCCAGGTGTTTACTGGTTGGAAATTATTGAAAAGCAAAATAAATTAGGGCAGCTTCTCTAGCAGCACAAATTAATTTACATGAGACTTATGGGTACAGATAAGCAGATGATTGGCAACTGTATTATGGAATAATAATATCAGCCAGCTGAATAATTGGTAAAATTGTTTTAATGGGGATAAAAATAATTGGAAGATCCTTTAATAAGTATTCAACACAAACATATTCTAAATTCTATTTGGAAATATGAAATTGATTCATTCAGTAGGTCCTCCATAGAAGGAGTGTGCCACACCTAATTCTTTTCCGTTGTATTCCCCAATACCAATCACTTACTCCTACTTCCACAGCTTCCATGTTCCATAAGCAACATGGTCATACAACCTCCCACTCAGTATCCACCCTATTCAAATTTTCTAATTAGTCATGCTGTTCCCCAGATGAAATCCAGCAGTTCATCTCTGCCCTTTTAGAATTTATATATATTGTCAACAAATTTCCCTATGGGGCTAGGGGAAAGTTTGTAACTATAATTTCATTGATATAGGAAGCTCACATGAGGAAAATCCCTTATGATAATGCAAATCATAATTGACCTACATAATTGACAACTTCTAGTCTTGGAGATGTTTGGGTTATGATGTGTTAGTAGATATAAGTTGAACCCAAGTTTTCCTGCCTCTGGCTATCTATCCACTATGCCAAGTTGCTTCCAATAAGATACCTTATATTCTTTGAACTTTTAAAGTCAGCCACCTATTCTGTTCAGAGGGATTCTGATAAGATTAAAAACAAAACAAAACTAAACTAAACTACCATATTACCTACTGAAAAAGCTTTCACATTTTATTTTATTGTCATTTTGACAAGAATGTCATCTATACCTATGCATTTATCAAGGTCTTTGATAAAATACTGCACATCACCAGGTAAAGGATCTTTGAATTATTCTATGAAACAATTCTTTGCAAATGAATACTGTCCCATTATTGACTATACTTTGGCTATAGTACTCCAAATCCACATAATTTTACTATAATCTAAACCATATCTCTCCAAATTTTCCACAAACACAAAATGAGAGACTCAGATAAGGTGCCACTTCAAAAATGAGGTTTGTCATTTTTAATGCTATTATAATTAACTATTCAACAAAGTATGTTGATTTTTTTTTAATTGTGTGCCTACTGCAAGGTATTGTGTTAAGTATCTCTTGGGGTAAAAAAGATGGAAAGGATGCAGTTGCTGACCTCAGAGACCTTAGAGTTTTTCAGGAGAAAATTCAGCATGTACTCAATTATTTACATTTCAAAGTAGATTTTGATAGGGGAAAAACAAAAATAGGCCATATTCTATGAGAAGTTTGTGGAGAGATCACTTTCATCTGGAGATGAAAAAGAGGCCAAGTTTCAACAATGAGAGGGTTTTTGATTTGACCCTAGAAGAGGAAGGAATATATATGAAGGGTTCGGATACAGATGTCAAGGGTCTGTTCCAAGGACAAAGGATGGCATAAGATCAGGAAAGAACAGGATTTTTGGAGTATTTTAAAGACAATAAGGTGTGGAGAATCAGAATAAAGCCAAGAAGAACTGGATTTAAGCCCTTACTGTGACAAATATACTGACTGTGCACATTAGAAAGTATTTGAACTTCTCAGTGTCCTAGGCAACTATCTAGAATTAGAAATTTCAGAGGAGATGACTAGCATTGGGAGGAACAATATTCTCATCTGAAAGTTCTCCGTACTAGTCAGATCAGAGGTCCAGTCCTTCTATCTGTCTGTAGTCTGGATGGAATGAAGAATATGTGAGGAAAAGGAGGAAAAGGGAGTTAACAAAAGAGGAAAGATAAACTAAAGATAGATTATGGTGGATACTAAATGTTACATGAGGGCTAGTCAAAGGAATTGCATTTGTTTAGCTTGAGGGAGTCTTCTGGGTCATAAATATTGTAAGGACTGCCATATGGAAAAGGGGCTAGACTTCCTCTGTTTTATTTTAAGAGTGGAACTGAGAGGAACTATTGTTAATTGCAAAAGGAAAGATTTAGGCTTCATGGAGGGGAAAAAAAAACAATAACAAGATTTTCTAACAAGTAGAGCTATTCAGAAGTGGAATAGACTACCTAAGGATGTAGTAGTGTGTTTTTCTTCACTAGAGATTTTAAGCAATTAGTAGACTCATTCTTGGACACAGTGTTAAAATTTTTCTCATCAGATATAAATTAAATTAGATGTCCTATAAGGTGTCTTTCAACTCTGAGATTCCTTGATTCCACCATCATCAGGAATTTCAGTTTTATTTGGTATGTTGTTGAGTTGTTCAGTTGTGTGTAACTCTGACTCTCCCTTCCTCTAGCTCCTCCCTCAGTCATTGAGAAGGAAAGCAATATGATAGCAATTATACATGTGAAAACATGCAAAACATTTCCATATTAGCCATTCACCTATCATTTTTTATGCACCTACTATGTTCTGGAGTTTTGAGTCAATTTATTTTTTAACACTATCCTTATTCTTTTTTGTTTGTTTGTTTGTTTTGTTTTTTTATTTGGCAAGGCAATGGGGTTAAGTGACTTGCCCAGGGTCACACAGCTAGTAAGTGTTATGTGTCTGAGGCAGTATTTGAACTCAACTCCTCCTGAATCCAGGGCTGGTGCTCTATCCACTGTGCCACCTAGCTGTCCCACTATCCCTATTCTTAATTACAGTCAGAGAAGATGGCCCTTCATGGGCCACTGAATGTCCCCAAACCTACTTCTTTTTCTGTAAAATGGAGATAATAACAGGTGCCTTGCTCATCTTGAAGGGTAGTAAAGACAGTGCTTTATAAAACTTTAAATGTTATGAAATTCATTGTTGCTGCTGCTATTGTTTTATCAATGTTGTTACCTTCTTTTAGGGAAACCTTATGGCCCCTGCCCAGTCCAAGACCACATACCTAAAAAATGGTATCCATTTAAAAAAAAAACAATTGAAAATAGGTACCTTGAAATATTTAACTAAATTCTTGTTTGGGGAAGAAGGATAAAGTGCCAGGTAATGTCTTCAATGTGTACTTGCTGATGTGTGTGTGTGTTTGTGTGTGTGTGTGTGTGTGTGTGTGTGTGTGTGAGAGAGAGAGAGAGAGAGAGAGAAACAGATACAAAGAAACAGAGAGCAAGAACGAGAAATGGAGAGATAAATAAAAATAGACAGAGATAGAGACAAGCAGAAGCACAGAAAGACATAGAAAAAAACATACAAACAAAGAAATACAGGAGGGAGGGAGAGAGAATATATGTCCATGTTTCAAAAATCTCTATCTTCTACAGGGAGCCTGACATTAATTTCAAATTTTCTTATTTGTACATTATTAGCTATGCTTATACATTCTTAACAACAGGGTAGGAAAAATACAAACTGAAAAGTGCAAAGCCTTATTTGAGTATGTTGAGAAAGATACTCCAGTTTAACTTTCCACATCAATCTCGTCTCCTTGCCAATATCATGCATGCTGCCCAGGGAGAACATGCAATTACCTATTGATAGAGAAACACTTGTTTTATTTAGTGACTGCACCCTGTTCATTTTTATGAGTGGTGGGGGAGCAGTTTGAAGGAAACTGTTCTTTTGACAATTGAGGAGTACTCAGCAAGGTGGGCTTTTGTATTATTGACTCTTCTGTGATTTTCCTCCCTTATAACCTGAATAGAAATGGTCCCACTTGGGTCTCTGAAGCATTTATATTGGAAACTTTGACAGGCTACAGATAGAATGAATGTAAATCATCTTTGATAGGGTGGCAGAGTAGAACAAAATGCTGAATTTGGAATCAGGTGACATATGCTTAAATCTTAGCTCTCCCACTTACTGTGTTACTTTGGGCAAGTCACTTATGGGGCTCAGTTTACTCATTTATAAAATGTGAAAGTTGGACTCCATGAATGTAAAATCCTCCCAGAACTAAGTTCATGTATGAACAAATTATTTCTTTTCTCTCTGTAATTATTTAACAAGCCAGTCAGTCAACCGGCATTTAAAAATTATTATTTATTTTCAACATTCATTTAAAAATGTTTTTGAGTTCTGAATTCTCTTCCTCCAGTATCTCTCTCAGTTACTGAGAAGGAAAGCAATATGATAAAAATTATATGTCTGAACTCATGCAAAGCATATTTCCATATCAGCCACTCAAGCAGCATTTTAAGCACCTACTACGATCTTGAGTTTAGAGCCAGTTTATTTTTAAACACTATTTTTATTCTCAATAACCAGCAGAATAGGTGACCCTAGGAAGGCTATTGTATCTCCCTGAGCCTACTTCTTCTGTAAAATGGAGATGATAATAAGTGTCTTGTTTATCTTGAAGAGTGGTGGAGACAGTGCTTAATAAAACTTAAAATGCTATGAAATTTGTTGTTGTTGCTGTTCTATTATTGTTATCAATGTCATTAATTCCCCTTAGGGAAACTTTATGGCCATTCCCCAATCCAAACCCATATACCTAAAATAGTATCCATTTAAAAACAATTGAAAATAGGTACCTTGAAATAATTAATTAAACTCTTGATAGGGGGAGGAAGACACTTTATAATCAGCTTGCACACTGTGATTGTGCTATATATCAAATCACTCATTTATGAATGTTTCTCTTGGAGTATGTGTAATCATGAAACCTTTTTTTCCATCTCTGTAGGAGCTGGGAAGTAACAGCCCTCCACAAAGAAACTGGAAGGGAATTGCTATTGCCCTGCTGGTGATTCTTGTTGTGTGCTCACTCATCACTATGTCAGTCATCCTCTTAACCCCAGGTAATCTCTTTTTATTTCTCTCTCATTGATCTTATATTCAGAATGACTATATTAGGGTAACAATAAATAGTGAATATTAACATCAATTTGAATAGAAATTGAACTAAGAGGGGGACATTAGCAAAACAGTACAATAGGTTAAAATCAGGGGTGAGGAACCTACAGCCTCAAGGTGACATGTGGCCCTCTAGGTTCTCAAGTGCGCCCTTTGACTGAATCCAAACTTTACAGAACAAATCCCCTTAATTAAAGGATTTGTTCTGTAAAGCTTGGACTCAGTCAAAAGGCCACACCAAAGGACCTAGAAGGTCACATGTGGCCTAAAAGTCACAGGTTTCCCATCCCTAGTTTAAAGTGTTGAAATAACTCAAAGACATACTCAGTATTCTCTAATTATAAACTACAAATGGAATTGGCCTAAGCAATGTTTCTTGTCTTTTTTTTTTTTTAGGCCTTATCTGAGGTGATATCATAGTACAGTGGGAAGAGCTATGGATTTAAAATCAGAGGGTGTAGTTCAGTCATTTTCAGTCATGTCTGCTTCTTTGTGACCCCATTTGGGGTTTTCTTGGAAGAGATATTGGAGTAGTTTGCCATTTCCTTCTCCAGTTCATTTTGTAGATGAGGATACTAAGGCAAACAGGGTGATTTACCCAGGGTCACACAGCTAGTAAGTGTCTGAGGCCAGATTTGAACTCACAAAGATGTCTTCCTAACTCCACAACTGGCATTTTATACACTGATCCACCTAGCTACCCTGAAGTCCGAGGACCTGGGTTCAAATCATTTACTGCCTATATAGCCTAAAGAGAACCTAGAAGTGACTGAAAAAAAATCTACTTTATATTTTGACTTTCTTTAATTATAATTATAATCAACATTTTAATAAAAACACTTCATTATAAAAAGAAACCTACTCTCCAAAAGAGTAGTGGTCCTGTCAGATTTTGCCAGATTTTATTTTCCTTATCCACCAGATTTTCTAAAATAGAGTGGCCACTGCAGCTAATAAATTAGCTTTTCCTTATTGGTGAGAATCTGGTCCAGAATAAAATACTCCCTCATTATTGGTCATAGGACATTTTAAAGATAAAATTTTTAGTAAGGTAAGTAAAGAAAAAAAATTAATGTTTCTTTGGATACAAAAGGGAATCCAACAGATATATGATATCTGGCATTCACCTTCACTAATATTTTGTGTTCCTTTGCCAATCTTAGGATGTATTTTCCTCTGTACCTTATTTGTTTTTTGTTTTTTTTTTTGGTCCAGTGCTACATAGTATGTTCCAAAGATAATCTTGCCTCTGTTTCTGCTTTCATGTGTAAAATTTCTAGCTTGATTGCCTCTTGTGGTTTCTGAATTTCTTCATAGAATAGTATCTTCTTAATAAAGAATGTACTTCCTCTCTTTTACCTCTGAGCTCTGCATTCATATCATTAAAATTTTCATTGTTACTGTCATCTAATAAAATATAAATTTCCTAAGTGTAGTGTTCAAGTTACTCCACATGCTTAATCCATCCTATTTTTCCAGCTTTATTTCCAAGTCTCCACTTATTTCACCAGTCAACAATTTATTAAAAAACTACTGTGTGCCAGGTTATATGCTAACTACTAAAGAGAAAAACCCAGTGAATGAAATGTCCCTTTTTGCCAAGAGTTTATATTCTTTCAAGGGAGAAAATAAGGACATGTATAAGTTTATAAAGAATAATGTTTTTTTTTTTGGTGAGACAATTGGGGTTAAGTGATTTGCCCAGAGTCACACAGCTAGTAAGCGTTATGTGTCTGAGTCCAGATTTCAACTCAGGTCCTCCTGACTCCAGGGCTGGGGCTCTATCCACTGTGCAACCTAGTCACCCCTATAAAGAATAAATTTTGAGAGAATATTATATACATGTATGTATCTATGTAGATAGATACATACATATGAATAACTACAAAGTAGTTTGGAAGATAAGATACTAGCAATTGATGAATCAGGAAAGACTTCATGTAGAAAATAGTCTGTTGAGTAAAGAGAGGGATTACACGAAGCAGAGGTCACAATGGACTCTATTTCAGACTTCAAAGACAGTCAGTGCAAAGACAGAGATAAGAGCTTCTGGGTGGCAAATAGGATGTTTTATTGGGTTACAGAGTGTAAAAGGAGGAGTAGTGTCCAATGAGTCTGGAAAGAAAGACAAAGCTAGGTTGCAAAAGACCTTCAAAAGCTAAACAGAGGAGTTTAAATTTTATTTTGAAGCAATAGGAAGCCAATGAACATTGTTGAATAGGGAGTGACATAATCAGATCTGGGCTTAATCATTTTGGTAACAGTGTAAGGATGTATGAAAAGTGGAGAGAGATGAGACAGAGAGCCCATTTAGGAAACCTGCAATAATCTTGGTTAGCAGCAATGAAGGTCTTAATGAAAGTTCCCATTATTCTCCTGTCTTCTCTCATCTCTGTACCTTTGCTTTACACACACACACACACACACACACACACACACACACACACACAGAGAGACATACATACCTTTATGATGTACCTCTAGCAAAGATTTACTTAAATAGAAACACTTCACAAAAACAGATGTGAATTTATCAATTCTGGGCTCACAAAACAGTCTTTTGAGAACCGTCTAGAGAATGAGTGGACATAAACCAATCCTTTTCTCTAGTCTAAACCACATAAAAGATATAAGACCTGAGTCTGAAGTCAACAATTTGCAGAATAATCTCCCAACCAATTATGATACATTCAACAAACTTCCTATTTGCTAAATGTTCCCTTTTTCTGAACCCAAAAATATTTTATGTTTCTTGAATAATATTAGATACTTGGTAAATTTTGTCAGTCATTGTGTACATTTTTTTCCCATGGGAAATTAGAAGATTCCACTAATTTAATTTAATTTCGTTTTAAATTCTAAAAAATTCTTGATATGCCATGGATTCCTAAAAATTAATTTCTAAATGGCAGAAAACCTATCTAACCAGTCTTAATGTTTTTAAACATATTTTCATTCCTATTCATATAGAGCATGTTACATTCTTCAGAAGTGATAGATATAATTAAAAGTATCACTGACAGTGATTTTTCAGATCTTGGGTTCTTCAGATGATGGAAAAGTACCTAGGAAATAATATTTAGGAAAAGTTGGATAGCTTGTATTGATGCTGGAACTTGTTCAAAGCTCATATTCCCCATAAAAATTAGGAAGCTTAAATGTACTACTTACAAGACTTTATTTCCATTTACTCAAGGGAATTGAGAAACATTGCCCCTCAAAATTAATATATCTTTCTTTACAGTCTACTCCCTGCCTAGTCCAATACCAATTTTTATTCCCAGTGTGAAAATAAGTAGGACAAACTCACCTGAATTATATGAAACAAAGATAGTGATGACTGCAAAGTAAAGTAACCACAAATAGCAGTGTCTCTTCCTCCTGCCTACAATGTACAAAGAAAGAAACACCTAGATATAATGCCAGGCCCAGGCCTCCTACAATGGGCATGAACAAACATTCAAAATATTTTCTAATTACATCTGCTATAAGTGTAATAAACATGCTCCACCAAAATCTCAATCTGTTGAAATGTCTTACAGCCTTCAAGGCCTAACTCAGGTACCATCTCCATCCTGCTATCCATTTTTCCCAAGCAAAAAGTCACCTCTCTGTCTTTGTATTTTAAACAGCTGTTTGGACTTTTCCTCTGTACTTAATATATTCTGCTACTAATTCTATTTATTAATGTGCATGCTTTGCCCTTCAATACCCCTATTCAGTCATATGCATTATGATAGCAAGATTTATATTTTATTGCATTTTTGTATTCATAACACATAATATAGTCAGTACACTGTATAAATCAATGCTTAATATTTGTTTAATTTAGTCGAAGAATATGAAAGCAACATGGAATAGTGGATAGATTCCTGAATTTTGAATCAAGATCTTTGGTCAAATCTTTACATAATCGTCTGTGAGGTCTGCAACTTAGGGCAAGTTTCATTAGATCTCCCTACCTTCAGTTTCCTTATTTGTAAAATAAGGATATGGATTCTATGACAAATAAGGACTATGATCCTATGAATGAATAAACTAGTATAAAAATCTAGCTTATTTGGTATCTTCTTAACTGAAATGCAACAGTTTTGTATGTCCACAATACAATGTTAATTCATGCACATAATGATGTCCCTGAGGTCCAGGAAGATTCTAAAGTTTCTTCTAGACCAACAAAAAAGATCAAATAATGCTCAGGATAATTCAATAATAAATATATTTTCTTATGGTTCAATTCTGTTATTGTATTTATAAAATTATGATACTTTATCTCCTAAATACTTTAAATTATGAATCTCAATCCTTAGTTGTTCTTAGTCTCTGTATTTTTTTTCCAGCCAAAGACAAGGTTTATTAGAACATTGATTGGGAGTGGTCAAGATTTTAGGAATCTGCCATATTGACCAGACTCTTAAGGAATATAAGCATTTGTATCCTTAATGCAAGCAGGCCATATTTTAAGAATCTGAGCACCTTAATGGAGGTCCGATAGAACTAATATACAGAAAGACTGTGGGAGGGATCTAGGAGTGGCCAAGTAGTTTGGGGTGACTGAAGCAGGGATCTAGGAGAAGGGGTATCTTGATGGGAATGACTGAGAGGTGGAGAATGCGGTCTAGATAAGATCAGGGATAGGAAGTAGTGGGGGGACATCAGGAGGTAATAGACAATGAAGGGCTGGCCTAGGTTAAGGGTAACAGAGAATTGTGAGATTGGGTATAGGAGATAATGAAAGGTCAGTTGATTGAATTATAGCCTCAGACAAATGTTAGAGACTTTCTTGATCAAGTAGAATTCAAGGAGAGTTCAAAGTGGGGTTTTCTAGGGCCCTGTAGACAAAGGTACCCAAATTCTTTTTGGGCAAGGACTTGGCTTCTGAAACTGTTTCATGCTGGCAGAACTGTCTCTGCCCCTTGCTGGGTCCTGTTCAAGGGGTCAGACT